GTGATGAAAAGTATTACTGAACAAAGCCAGATCCTGATGCTCTGCTGTCCAAACCTGCATCTGCTGCTGCTGTTTGCATGTCTCAGGATGCACTGAGGTCAGCCTCTAGGATTATCTTAGGACAATTCAAGGCCTATCTACGATTACAAACCCTTCCCTTTATTCTCCTCCCTACTTATACTAGCATACTTTAGTATCACCTAATCCATATCTTTCAACTTCCTCACCCATCCTCTTTTTTTTTTTCTTTTTTTTTTTCCATATTAGAATTATTTCTGGATGCGGTTCTTTATTTTTCACAGAACTTCTGCCAAACCAGAGATTCTCTCACAAAGAAAAATGTCAACTGTCTGACAATCAGATTTAGTCAAAGGGAGGTTCGTATATAGTGCTCAGTCACGTATATCATAACAAAATCTGTTGCTATGATGGTAAGGTGGATTTTAGTCATAGCTCCAGCTAAAGAATGCATATAGAATCGTAGAACCATGGAGGCTGGAAAGACCAATAAGATCATCTCGTCCAACCATCAGCCCATGCCTGATACTGCTCTAACCATGTAACTCAGTGCGACATCCACCCTTTTCTTGAAGACCTCCAGGAATGGTGACCCCATCACTGACCCCATCGCTCCCCTGGGCAGCCTCTTCCAATACCTCACTCCTCTTTTGGAGAAGAAATGCTTCCTAATATCCAATCTGAGCTTCCCTAGCACAATTTAAGGCCATTACCTCTTGTCCTGTCAAGAGGTGTGATATATCTCTGCCTACAGGAGAAAGAGGAGTGAATGACACTACCCTAGAGACATAATTTCCCATTGGGTTCTGTTGGAAAAGTTGTACACCACTTCTTTTCAGCTCTGCAAAGCTGTGCATAAAGGTAGTGGAAGAGAAGGGCCTTACCTGCCTGTGTCTTGTCTTTGTGTGTTGATTGCTGCAAAGCAAAGCTCTGTAGATACAGAAAGGCAGGCTGGGCAGAATTTTAATTTCCCAGTTGTATCGTTTCTATGATATTTCTTCATGATTTACCAAGCTCCTATGACAAAAATTTTAGTAGTGTTTTATGTTGGTGTTGTGTTTTTTGTTGGTGGTTGCTTTTGGCCTGTAATTCCCTTTGTATGGTGTCCAGTTTTAGTTCTATGAGCAAATTAGAGATCTGCAGAGCACCACCCAAATTCAACAGTATTTATTCTGGACTCCTGAACATTCTTTTTTTTTTTTTTTTGTCCCTTCACTCTATTTTTAAATATCCTTTCTTCAACAGACCCCCAGTCTTGGTTCAGGAAGTAACTAACAATATTAATATAAACCATGTAAACAAAGCGTCACTGCTTTGACATACAGCACTATTCATTGATATTTCTAGCTACAGTACTTTCATTCTCCTTTTTTTAGGTTTTTGGGGTTTTTTTGGACTGCAACCTTTCTTTCCTTTCCAGTGTTTATCTTTTCCCCATTAAGAAATGCTGGGTTTTATTCTGTTGATTATGAAACATGAACCATCCTGGCTTTTCTCATTAACTTCCTCCTTATCATAAGCACCACCTCCTGCAACATCAATCATGTTAGCAGCATGGAGCTGGAAGCTGCAATTATTAGCAAGCCAATTTTCTTTTCAGGCAGACTAGAAAAATATTGCAAGGTCATGCTTTCAGGATAGGTATTTTCTCCTTAAGCATTTGTGAGGGCTGCAGTAATGTATATATGCATTAAAAGTAAATACATAAATACAGATCATAAAAATAAAACAAAATATGCATATTTATATGTTTTATAAGACAGAAACTCTTACAAAGCTGAATTCTAGATAAGATTGAATTCTGCCTCCTTTTGCACTGGGAAGCCAAGCAACCATGCAACTTGCAGGACTTGGGACCCTTTTCTTCTCGTGGTAAGAACTCCTGAAATTGTATTAAGGACTGTTCTTTTGTTTTAAAGTCACTTTATTACCCTATGGTGGTTTTCTAGAAGAATACAATACATCATAGTAATGACAACCTGAAAAATACCTTGAAGTTTTAGACAAGATGCATAGTTCATACTGTTTGCTGAGTGATGAATAACACAAACTGCACTGAAAAATTATATAAACACATTATTTCAGCTAGCACAGCAAAACAGACCAGATATAAATCAAGAATAACTGCCGTCTTGTGGTCCTTGGCAGTTATTTACAAACCTCTTGAAATATTTCCTTATCTGTCATTCTCAGAAGAAATTGGGCAATTACAATAAATAAGTTTGAAACTGGAGAACATCAAATAGTGAATCATTATGGCATCATTACAAGGGAAACACTAATGAGGAGAAAGCCAAAAACAAATCCAAAGGTTCTTCAGCTTCAAGAAATCTATTTTAAATAAAACTGAAATAAATGCCCAAAATGATTTTAACATCATTCTTTAGGATAGACAGTTACACAACAATAATTATGGAGAGGTATTTACAGCCAGAAATTGAACTTTATCCTATTTTGGTGTATTTCTAAACAGGAAAGAAACAATTACTGTGTCACTGAACTTGTTGCAAAACTCTGAATAGGGGAAGCTTACATTAGAGAGGAAAGGAAATAAAGTCTAGAAGTGTTCTGAATCTAGATGGTGGGGAAAAGTGAAATGTTTCATTCTGATATTGTTTGGTAACATCAGCATATATACAGACTTTATTAATTTTGTCTTTAATGGTAAAGCATGTCTACGTTCCATATTTAGGATACAAAAACATAACTGGTATATAAAACATAACTTGAAAATATGATACTTTGTAATGACTATATTACAAGAAATTAATGGGGACCAATCCAGCTGGGGTTTCAGGTTTTGGGGTTTTTTTGTTTGTTTCTTTTATGGTTGCTTTTTTTATTGCTTATGGTGATTTTTTTTTTTTTTTTTTTTTTATTTTTCTGTGTTGGGGAGGGGGATCTTTTTGTTGTTGTTATTTTTGTTTTTATTTTTCCGGCTCTGGTATTGATTTTGTTGGTGGGGTTTTTTTGTGTGTTTGTTTGCATGGTTCTTTTTTTTCCTTCTGAGTCAGCACAAGAGCACATATCAAGATACTCGATGTTATTTTCAGGGTGGAAAATTCAAGCTTTGTTCAAAACAAAATGAAAAGCACAATATCCCTTGCAAATCCCGTCAGACATTCAAAATGCATTCAGTTCCCCTGAACATCAAAGGGAATGCTCAGCAAGCCTCATGCTCGCCCTGATTCAACAATTTTAAAGTACTATTTCTTTGACGTTGCCAATACCAACGTGCTGAGGTCCATGGAGCATCATTCCACAGGGACAGACATCCCACAGATGCAGCTGGAATGAGCCACTGGTGCTCACCAAAGGAGCTGTTGATCTCCTATTCTACTTGTTCTCTGCAGAAGGTGAAATCAGGAATCTGATTCCCCCACTTGCCAGAAGTTGCAATCTGATCCCAAGAGGCAGGACTGATGGCTTTGATTGCTGAACGCACCGCTCAGTCCTCTGCTCTGGCTGCGCTGTGATTAATCACAGTGATGGGCCATCATATCTGGGAAAATTTTCCATCATTTAAGAAAAAAAAAAAATTAGAATGTCCAATCTTTTTAGATCAAGGGGTTTTCTTTTTAATAAAGTGTGTCGCAGTAGGGCAAAGCAGGTGGGAAAGGCTATCTGAGCTGCCTCAAGTTTGCTCGAAGGTAGTCAGTGTTTTAAGGATACCTCTTGATCATGCACTTAATGTGGGAGGCAATGCAACAACTTAGAATGCGTAAACTACAAGGACATGCATGGCTTTGAGCATATATCTTGGCACCAACCTGAACTATGAGGCTTGGGGACGTGGTATCTTTTCCAGACCTCAAATGTGCCATAATACAACACATAAACTTCCAACTTTGAAAAGGATGCAAATAATCCGAGGCAATCTCAGGTCAAGAGATGTCTAAAGTTCCCTTTGTATAGACTCACACTCACTTAACCACGCTGAACAAGAGAAGCAGGAGCTCATTTTCCTCTTTAGAAATATCTGACAATGCGTTGAGATGAGTAGTAGTTATCTCTTTTGTTGCTTTTTGTCTGCGTTTGGATCCTTTTGTCTCAATGGGTGCAATATCTTCACCGTGTGTTTGTTGCACTGAAGCCCCATTCACAGAAGTCATGAATTTGAATGGGTACCGCTAAATTGCGGCCATTTTAAAGGCTCAGGAACGAGTGAGGATCCTTCCCGCAAGGTGTAGGTGTAGCCAGAGCTTACAATCTGAGCACATAAATCGGGAACAGAATAGTTCAATGAGATGCAACATCCCCATGAGAGGAAGCAGCAGCCTGGAGTCTCCGCAGTTGCCTTTTCCACTTGACATTGCTGTACTGGCATCTTGGATAGCGTGAAAAGTATTGAGCTATATATACCAAATAAGAGGCTTATTGCTGTTATCCCTACAGTCTTTCATCAGGAGGAACTGAAAAACAGGTACCAAATTATAGACACGCATCTGTATCCTGAAAGTATCTGTTTAACTCAGTAATATAGAACTGCTTGGTTATTGACAATGGAATTCTCATGCCACTACTCATCTCTACATGTCTCAAAATGCATTGAGATTGGCCCCTAGATCTATTTCTTGCTCTTGGTCTCAGGTGTAGCAATTAAAGAAATGTTCTGTATTGCTGAGAGCACCAGATGTGTGTGGTGGAGCATCCTATACTGACAAACATTTTGCTTTTAATAGTTCCTTTGGGTACACATGGGCGTCTGGTTTTATTTTTCTGTTTACGCTTTATTTTTGTTTTATGGAGATGTTTCCTTGATGGGATTTTTCAGTTTCTTGCCTCAGAGGACAGTTTGAGGTAGCACAGCAGCACTGTCTCCTGTTTCTGTTTCCAGTTTTTAAGGTCATTATTAGATCTTCATTTGAATCCTCCCATAGGAAATAAGAGAAACGTGACCTGCTGACTGATTCTGCAACCTCCATTGTGGGTCATGCTGGACCTTCCTGATGACTTCTCATGGTCTCTCTTGTCTTCCTCAGCCTGGAGCCAGCCTCAAACATACAACAAAGTCCATTCAGGAGCTAATATCAAAGGAGCAAGGTTTTTTCAGCTATGGTAGATGCACACCTTATACCCACATCCTATAGATGATGGCACATTGAATAAGGTGGGTGATTATCTTGCAAGGTCTGTGTTTGCAGATGCTCTCTTCCAGTCTAACTTTCAGTTGAATCCTCTCTGACAAACAGAGCCCAGATTTTGTGTCACCATCCTCAGTGTGAGTCAAATGATGAAGGGGTGTAGTGTGAGACCAGGTATATTCTAAGGATGTGGAGAAGTCTGGTTTATTTCTCTCAGGGATATTTTGCTCTATCTCAGGAGTGCCAGGCTGGATCCTTGTGTTTTGCTGAGAGGATGCACAAGTTAAGTTTATTCCCGTAAGTAGAATAGGAGGTCTTTCCTGACTACTGCAAGTAATTATCTTACTTCCTGCAGGGTCCAATGTGCCTTCTTCGGCTATAATATGAACCCTACTGAATGTTGCTCAATGTGGTGGATTTTCACTGACTCTTATTTTGAGAAAAAACAGATCCTCGTACAGCTATTATTTATAAGGAGTGGCAGATGTATCATGACTAAGAATGATGACCACAGAGTTCTAATTTGGGAACTGCTTATCTTGCAAAAAACTCATGCATGTATTTTTATTTTTATTTTTTTAAACCAGGGTTCAGGTAAAACCATGATGAGCAAAAGATTAAAGCTCTGTCAGATAAAAAGAAATGCTACTCTATTTCAACTCTCTCAGTTTTCAAAGGAGAATGAAATATGCAGTAATTCACACAGACAGCATATATATCGAATAACCATTGCAGTGGATTGTATTAATAGCTGTACAAGATGAATAACAACATGTTTGATTTAGTCCTTTTCTGACGGTGCCCCTGGATTACAAGGATTAGCCTGTTTTCTGTGGTGCTATCAATCCAATTACTATGATTCAACCTGCCTTTCATTTTCACCCTTCCTCCCTTCCTTTTTCCTTTCCAGGAAAACAGAATAGTTGTGATAAATAATTCCACTTATGTAATTTTATTTATCTGGAGCCAGATCCTGATTGTACCCACCTAACTTCATTCATGCGAATATTCCCATTGATCATGGAAAAATTTGTTGCATCCTTAAATCTTTTGGGGACTTGAAGACACGTGGGTGAAATTTAATCCTTCACCCAACTCAAAAACCTGTAAACCTACTTGGCCTGACGTTATGTGATGTAATTTGGGCATTAATTTGGTCTGAGGACTCGTGAAGTGAAAATTGAAGCCAGAGTCCTTTTCTTTAAAGAAAACTCCTATTACTAGTTGACTAGCTTTAGATCAGAGCTGAAAGATGCTGCAGATATGGCCCATTTCCCACTTCACTGCATATCAAAAGTCGTGCATGGCTGGCCCAGCAAAGCCCTTTGTTCTGTAGTACACTGCTGGTTGCCTGAGGAGTGCTGCAGAGTTTCCATGTCCCTAACCCTGACACTTGGTGGCTCACAGCTCCCCTTGGTGCAAACCTTGCCTAGTAGCATCTCCAATAGGTAGGGATGAGTAGGAGTGACATTACTGGGAGGTTTCCTTGTTCCATCTCTGTGGATCAGGAAAGTGCAGTGTGTTTCAGGGCCCAGATGCCTGAGTCTTTTATTTAATATCCTGCTGTGCTTTTGAGAAGTGCTAAATCACTCTTCTGTTTTGATTATCTTTTCTCCATCTCCAATAGCTTCTCAGATCATGTCCAATAAAAGAATTGCCCATGAGCCTGCATTAGGGGTACAGCTCCACAGGGAACTGTATTACCTGGATGAAAATGTGCTAATTCAGAAATGCCTTTCCTACCCTTTAGTTGTCCTTCTTAGGAAAAATGCTCCACCTCAACACCCCAGCTAACTGATTACCCTTCATTCTCCCCTCCCCCCGCCCTCCCCCCCCCCACCCCCCTTGGTTCTGAGGCTGTGCTTTGAATTAATCTACTCTAAAAGCCAACAGAGATGACTTATGTTTGGGCACCTCACAGGAAAGCAAGGACATGAAAAGCCTTAGGAAATCTTTGACGAACATCTCTGAGTGTTTTACTCACTGTGTGCATCTGTTACTGCATGAGTATTGCACATAACATGCCAAAGGGAGAGACAAGAGGTGATCAACAGGGAGGGCAGCTTTCGTGTCTGCACTGAACATTTTCTTTTTAAGGAAAGAGAGGAAATATGCTGCATTACCTGTAGGAGGTGTGCCTGCTTTTGCTAACAGATGTTCCTGTTTCGTAGATGAATGCCTAACTGGTCAGATCCTTTCCTGATGAACGGTGGTGTATCTGGGGTAAGTGCAGCTACATCTACACAGAACACCTTAGTAAGACTGATTTCATCCCACCCATTTAAATCTGTCTTGCAGACTTGTCTGCATAGCAGAACCAAAACGTCTCTGCCCCCTTCATTCCCTGATTTCAGCTGATAAAGTCTCCTCATAAATCCCACATGCGATAGCAGCAGCGTGACCCATCACTTCATTACATCAACTTGTAAAGCTCTGTATTGTGCTGAGGAGGAGCCTATCTGGGCAGAATGGATCCAATCCAGGAACAAATAAAGGAATCTAGTTATTTCTGGGCAAGTTCTGCATGATTTACTGCTTCTCAATTTTCCTGCTGTCAGCTAGTTTTTCTCCTATTCATATTCCCTCTCCATGCAAGAGGGCAAGTATCCAGATGGCATAGGTATCTCGGTTAGTTTTACTTCTTAGCTGATTTCTTAACAGTGCAGCTGTCAGGAGAGCCAACCTGAATGTTGGTTCTGATTGGGGTGAGATGCACATATTCATTGTCGTCTAGCATTAGCTGTTTCAGTGCATGCCTCTTTGTTCCCAAATAAAGTATCTGCCCCAGTGCATGACAGTGCATCTCTGCAGGCATCCCTGCCTGCATGGTACAATGAGGAATCTTTGCACAGGGAGGTGGTTTCCTGATGAACAGATATTGTATATCTTTTGTAGAACACTTGTATAACATTTTTCACTGTCAACAGGAAGGGATTAAAGCAAGATGGTATGTCAGGCTCTAGGCTGCTGTGCATTTATTTGGTGCATAGTAGAAGATGTAAGAGGTAGGGAAAACAAACCGTGTTTTCTTCTGTATTTTTTTAAGCTTTTGTTTGTGATTACTTTCCAGCAATTTTAAAAGGTAGTACAAAGCCAAGAAAGAACAGCTAGCTTGTTTAGTCTGATGTGGTATGTATCACTAGTTTATTTCTTCCAGGACATTACTTTTTCCATGCATTTACTTAATGGTTTGTATTTGACTAATGCACATCTTTCAGAAAGGTTGATTCAATGATTGCTGGAATTTCCTGTGCTTTCTAAAACAGTAATAATTACACTTGTGCCAAGCCTCCTTTGCTAAATTCTGCTATGATTCTCCTATGCAATATGCAATTGCCTTGCAGTTGTGATGACTTCAGCAGACATAACTCTTGTAGCTACTGTCCCAGCTTTAAAATTATTTCATTGGTCTTGTTGTCTTATCTTGCATCCCTCCAAATACAGGACTGAGATATTTACTGATAACTTTTGTCCACCCTGCACATTTAAGCTGTCATTTCCAGGTAGCCTGAGGCTTGTATAGAGTCTCAGTTGCAACACAGAGTATTTCTGCTGAGTTTCCCTCTAAAGCAATGTGAATCCATTCAGGTTTCTGTCCATCTGTCAGTTGCTCTGTGATGAGCTCTGTGGATTTTCACAACGTGCATAATTTCATCTTCTAATTTCTAAATTAATAAATTTCCTAAAATTAAACTTGAATGGAATTAAACTTGTTCTGGAATGATGATAGCCTAAATTCAGTGCAAATACCTTAAAAAAAGAATCTTGTTTTCACATTAATGTATCTTGCACAAAAACAACAGTTGAGAGTATACGTTCACTGCCGAATTTGTAAAGAATGTCAAATGACTAAACTGGAGAAATGACTAGCTAGACACCTGGAGTAGGAGCTCCATGAGTAATAAGCAGCTCTTGACAGCTGTAGCCTCTTTTGCAGGTGCAAAAGGAGCATCTTTTTCTTTTATCCACTTTCCATCAGTTGGAATCTTTCAAGTTGTGAAAACAGCTGGGAGTTGAAACAAGAGGAAAATCAGTTTACCCTCTCCTATCCTATGAGTAAGAGGTGTGTGTGGGAGTCTGAGATCAACAAATTCTGACCTCAGAAAACATGGAAGCAAGGAAAAAAATAGCTCAGGTCATTAATTACCAATCATATCTCTAATGTTAGGTACATCAGAGCTACCTTGACGTGCATTGAATGTTTTGGTAATATTTTCTAAAATATTCAGGACACAATTAAATGATTAGACTCTTCTGCATGTTTTTGTTTAGGAGCAGCATGATGCAGAACACTTTAAAAAGGTAATTGAATGACTAAAACTGTCACATACTTTTTTTTTTCACCAGTCAGATGTAAAAATCAGGACGAAATAAATGCTGATGTTATGTGGTGATGCACACACAGTTACAGTGTGTTCAGTACAGCGTTAAAAGCAATTAATCACTACAAAAGAGCTATCTTTTTTTGTTTTGTTTTGTAATTAAACATTTCTATTCATTTTTAGTCTTTCAGAGTAACGCTTTCTTAGGAGTACCTGTTAGAAGGCACAAATGCAATACAGACCAAGTTACCTGAATTGGGTTTTCTTGGTTCTGATTTAAATGACAATTAACTACATTGATTTAAACCACAGTGTTATAAATGGGTCTGTCTTGCTTTAAAGATAATTAAGGATATAACTTGAAAACATGCTTCTTTCAGTGCTGTAACTCAGTGAGTTTTCAGAATAACTCCAGTCTTAATAAATCAAGGCAAGCTGTAGAATCCTTACTTAGTGCAGCAGTTTCAATATCTGAAGTTAAGGCCACTGAAGAATATATTAACATTTATAATTGCTAAGTTGATCAGTAACGCAAATAAAAAATGAGAATTTCAAAACAAATTAACCTTTGCAGCACGTCATGTGGAGACAGACGGACAGTGAAATCTCTGGAAAGGTTCCCCTTGTCCTTGCAGTGATTTGTCACAGATCAGCATATCCTCTGTGCTGCTTTCCTGCTCTGCAGCAGGCAGCCTCTGGAGTCCAAATGTCCAAAAAATAAACTCTGATAACAGAGAGAACAACGTGGACAGTCTGAGGGTGGCAAGTCACTGCATGGGCTGTTGTTGCTCTGCATCTCTGCAGGCAGATTTGTATTTTGGGACTAAGATTAATATGCTTAGGCTAGGGCCAGATGGGTTTATAATTAGATGCACACAGTCTCTGACCTATTAATTGAAGCTCATGCTTTCCTGTGTCTATACCCCACATTTAACAAGATGCTACTCTGAAGCAATCAGTAGAAAAAGGCTCTTCCTTCCCAGTTGACCCTCTGCTTAAAATCTGCCAGTTCCATGCTTTGTTGAGAAACCTACAATGCTCCATCAGTTCTGAGTGCACCACACCACACCCAGACTCTCAGAAAAATGCACATGCTCTCAAATGAAAGCAAAAATTGCAGTCCTTCATGGAGGAATATTGCATGGGTGACTGCAGAGGGAAGAAAGGAGCAAATATTGCAAACATCTTTGGCCTCTTCTCCTATAGATTTGTCAACTTCCAGAAAGATTTTGTCAAACGACACAACTGATGAAGACTTCAAACTCACCAAACAGTACTGCCCCAAGGAACAGAAGACAAGGTAACCAAGCTCTCTGCATAAGCACATATGGTTTATTCTACTGCCACGTTCTATAGGCTTCTGGAAAGTTGCTGTTTTCACATCACCGGTGCTCTGCCTGTAGCTTCAGTTCCTATAGACGATCTTTAGTACCTTCAGTGCACACTACTGATGAGGGAAGAGGAATGCGGGAAATATTCCTTATTTTTCCTTGTTTAATTTGACTCTACAGTCCTTAAAAGATCTGAGCAGTTAGAAGCCAGAGTGGACTATGTGACCCATTAGTTTGGCCCTGTGGAAAAAGGTTATGAACACGCCTTGTGCAACAGTAGAGCTCTTGTATTTCTTCTATAGGTCTGACATTGAGGGGAAATCAGTAATCAGTAATGTTATCTCCTGATCCCAGGGCTCAGGGGTGTCCAAACAGGGACAGTGGTATTAAACTAAGCAGACTGGAATAAACACAGAACTGTGGCATGTATTGGCATTGCAACCGACAGCGAGTAAACAGCATTTTGGGTGTGAGAAGTACAGACAGCCCTGCCTTTCCTGCTGGGGCTGTGAGGTGCTTGTGGTGTCTGTCAAAGTATATAGTGATGTATAGTAATAGAGGATGGCAGGTGAAGAAAAGTTGATGCAGCAGGTATTGATAAGGCTGCTGAACAGTCAGCCAAATGCTTGGAATATTTTCCAGCAGTTTTGGCAGACGATCCTTGGTTGCAATACCCACCCCATCACCACTGCAGGTGAAAAAAATAAAATACCTGTGTTCAGTAGATGTTTTCAGCTACTGGTAATGGCATTAGGAACAAGAACCAGACAAGTAAACATGTGATTTCTCTTTCAGTGCATACAAAAATTGAGCAACATCTGTAGACACTTAGTTAAACACGTCTTGCTTTGCATACTTCATTTTTCTCACCTAAATAAACTGCAGTTTGCTCAGTAACCTCCCCCTTTCCTTGTCCTATATTCCTCACTGGTTTTGATGGTTTTCTTTTTTCCACAAAGGGGAAGAAGTAGTTCTTGTAGTCTCTTCACAAAAATAAAATCTACTTGGCATGTTTAGCCTTCCTGATCTATCTTATTACTGATATTTATACAGATGTCTCAGTTAGAACAAATTTATTGCAATATTCATTGGACTGAAATTGGGCTTATTAGTAATGTGAATGGATGGCTATTTATTGGACTTGTCAGAGTATATATTTAATACATCTATAGCTGTGTAGCTGGGATTATGACGTTTGGCAGTATTTATTGTATGCAATCCAGCAAATATTACAGGAGGAATAAATTTTGAGAAAAAGTGATGCAACCAGCAGCGTAATGAAGGCACAAAGTACAAGAAACATAGTTTTAAACAGAGGTTCCCAGCTGTGCTGAAGGAGGGGAATATTGAGGATGTGAGGAAGTCCAGGTGCAGACTTCAAGTTCTTTAAAGTGCCCCAGCACTCTGTTGAACAGCTGACCTTTCCCTCATGAAATTGACATTTTTTCATGTAGAAAAGGAAATGAAAATCTTCTTCTTTGATTTTTTTATTTTATTTTATTTTTTTTTTCACTGACTAAGTAGAGTTAAAAAGTTCTGTGGGGATTTCTGTAGGAAGCAATTTCGTCAAAAGCAAGTACTTTGCAGGCAGGTGTAAGTTTGACATTTTTACTATTTTGTGTTAAGGTGGTATTGGACATTGCATTTCATCACAATGGATTCCTATTATTATTATTATTATTATTGCATTCTGTGTTTTTTACCATTTCATGGTTAGCTCTACTTTTCAGTGTTTTGCAATCATGACACTTTCTGCACCATCAGGCTAAAATGTTTTATTATAAACAACTGTGAAGTACGCTTGATGGGCTTTTAATGATTACTTAAATCAGAAATATTGAACTCCCAATGAATCCATCTGGATGAGGCTTGCTTTTAAGGAAGATGAGATTGTTAGGGCAAAAATTTCCCTAAGAATAACAAATTTCCTTTTAAAAGAGTTTCCTGTAGTCTTCAGAAAATGCAGATTCCTTAGAAAAACCAGTCCCCAGCTTATAGATACAGGGACAGATGATCTTGAAATATTCCACTGAAAAAGCCCACTGCATTATTTCTGTTTAACAGATAGATAGAGCCATTTGTGTGGGAGGATGTGGAGGAGAGAGGAAATGAGGCCACCGGTGGACCTTGCAGGTGTGAGGGACTCTTCGTTCGCAGGGCCAAAGCTTCCCATTTCTCATGGAGACACAGGAGGAATGGAGGGAGCGCGGGGTGAACGGAGTTGTCCTCCTTTTTCTCATGCCTCCTGTTTGCCTTTTCTCATGGCAAAAGGGCGCGTTTGCAGGCGGTGTCGCTGCTGAGCGGAAGTGGTGGGCCCTGTCCCAGCTTGTTCCATTCCCAGAAGGATTCACGTTGTCCAACCCCGGTCCCGTGAGACCGCCTTCCCTGCAGACACACAGTCATGCGTTGTGGGATGCGGCTTTCAGGAGTGACTGTGGCTGCTGGGGACTGGTAAGTGCATATTTATCCTCTGCTTAGGTCAGAGGAAAAAGAGGGTTGAAATACTCCAGTTTTTAGATCCTAGAGCCTGGAATAGTTGAGGACTGGACATGAGAGGACTATGGAGAGCACTCCTTGTCCAAATCCCCGTCATGGACTGCTAGATTTCAATAACATTTTTTGAAACAGAAAGCAGCCATCAGCTAAATGCAAGCTGTCACCAGTGGGAAAGTACAGCACATAATTCCAGGAGACCCTCAGTTTTCTTAAATTTGTTAGAAACCTGCAGAGAGTTAAGGACAATACTACTGAAAATAATTATATAGGAATTAAGCATTTCAAGCAGAATGACTTAGTCTGCTCACACAAAACTTCAGGGGAGATGAATTAGAATGGTTTATTAGCATATTCCACTTTTTCAACACACTTCACAAGGAAGGAAAAACAGAATAACGTAATGGAGCTGAAGATCCATGTTTCCATAACAGCTGTGTCTGCACTATCCTACCTGTGAAAATAACTCTCTGCGGGTGGTGATGCTGTTGAATATTTTTTATTTCTTAGCTATCCTATTTTTCCCTTGTAAGCAGCTCCTTTGGGTATGAATATTAACCTCTCTTAGCTAAACCTTACTTTGACTGCATTACACCTGGGCAACGGCTCTTACTTGGAGCAAAAAGAAGCATATGAAAATGACAAGAATACGTGCACAATAACCCATTTTGACTTGAGCTCATACATTCTAATTGTCCTCTTGCGACTTGATCTGGAGTGCAGTGAAACCCAAAAGGGGCTCGCTGGGCTGCGGGTCAGGTTTTTGGGTCACTCATGCAAGGCAAAGAGTGAATACTGAGCAGCAAACCACTTGGTGCCAGCTCCTCAGGCCTGATCCTGGTGACAGCAGCCAGAATTTGGCCACTGGTTTCACTCAGTGCAGACTCAGGGCTGGAGGAGAGCGAAACCAGTTGCTTCTTCTGCGGTAAAAGGCAATCACAGACCCCAGTGATCAGCAGACAGAAGTGTCCCAGTAACATAGCTGATCGTGTCCTGATTAACTGGTGCACACTGTGCCCCCAGCACAGTAGGGTTGTCTCTTTCCTAGATTGATGGTGGTCTAAGAAGCTGTGAAAGTCACTGCTAGGACCTGGTATGATTATAAATATACTCCTATATGAAATTACAAGTACTGTGATGGCTGATTTCTCCTTTCCACTCATATAAGCAAGCTGGGATTAATTAGAACTACACATACTAAAAACTGTCTAGTGTGGATTTTATTTCTTCTCCTTCTTATTTTTCCTTAATCAAATCCCTTCAGCCAGTTAGAAAAAAATGTTTGTTATTGTAGACAGAAATGTCTTTAGCTTCTCTCAAGACTTGGCATCACAGGGAGAGGTGAGATCTGGGGATGCTCAGCCATCGCTTTGTGCAATCATGCTGTGACATCTCCCACCAACATTTGCCCTGCCTTGCTAGATGTAAATGTTTATGGGAGGAGGCTGTCTTCTGCCGTCTTTTTTAGATACAAGTATGATCCAAGATCAAGATGGGTCTGGACATCACTATAGTAATCATTAGAATGGTTTGGGAGTTAATGGGAGCCTTTGGGCAATCCCTACACTCTCCTGATTCCACAGTGGCAGAAACAAGCCTCTGGTGAGCTGTTGGATTGTAGCACTTAGTATCTCCATGGGTCCCCTCCTGGTGTTGCACTTCTCTTTGTGCATTGAGCTCTATCAGTGTTACAAGGATCTAGAAATGGATGTGCAATCACCAAGTGTAGGTCAGATTACTCCATGGCAAAAAGAGAAATGTTCAAGCCTGGAAACACAGGAGTTAATAAAAAACTCATTTCTCTCACCTACTTTCAAAAGAACAAACCTTATTATATAAATTCCCTTGTCATTAATCTAATAAAGCTCTACTTTGTTCATAATTTACTATACCATTCAATAAGCATTGTAATATTTGTGCAGAGCAAGTATATAAATCATTGTTGCCCTTCTTTACTTTTTTTTTACTTGTCTGGTTCTTTCAAGGTCACTACCTTATAGCTCTCATCTGGTTTAAATATTCTGCTATTACCATTTACACCTCGCTCTCTGGTCCGTGCTCATTTAGATATCTGCAGCTGCATCTTCTCAAATAACTATTGATCCATGTCTCCTTGCTAAAGCTTACTAACTTCATCAGCAGTAATGACATAAATTACACCTGTTAAGGCTCACTTGCATCTTTTTGCTGATCAGAAGACAATGACTATTTTCTGATTCTGACCATCTTTTCTGACTGGGAACTGAAGAGAGCTGAAACACAGGAAAGAAATGTCTTCAGGAGAATATCTTTATTTTGACACACACAGATGTCCACCCCCTGGTAATGCAGAGAGTTTAATCAATCCCTACTGATCTCTAAGAATCTGAAATGTAGCTGGATAAGGCCCCTGTCCAGCAAAGTACTTAAGGATATCCTCAAGTAAACATATGATCAGCCCCGTTTTTAGCAGGATTTGGCAAGAAGTGCCTTTTGGAGTGGAGCATCCCGGAAGATGCTGCTTCTTCGGGGAGCTGTGTAAGACCAAGCTTCACCAGCAGCAAATACAATCTCAGTCCAAGTTGTTTGGTCATCTTACACTCAGCAAAGCAACTCTGCTCAACAGTATCACTTGCAGTGATGTCCTCATGTCCCCTCAGGGGAGGCTGGTGAAGTGTGACTTCTTCAGAGGTGCATTTGTGACTGCACACCTCTTAGTATGCTTGAGTTTCTTTTGCTGACTATCAAAGAGACAACAGGATGATCTAGGAGTGAGCAGAGGAATCTTCTGAGTCCTGCAGAACCCAGCAGCTGTGCTTGCTGCATGATGTCTGGAGTCTTCACCAGATCTTCTGGCTTCGGAGTTCCTTGAACCAGGTGCATCAGTGCCATTCTATGCTGAAAAACACAGAGAGGATCAGGAGACGATGAGGGAAAGGAAGCCCAATGCCTGCCATGGTAGGGCATTCGCTCCTTCCTCCATCGTGGGTGTTTCCTTGGCTCTGTCATGGTCAGTGAAGAACAAGGCTGGGACTGTTATTACCGCAGCGTGGAAGAAAACAGGGCTTGAAGATACTCAAGGAGGTAATCTCATCTGGCCCTATGCAAAAAGACATTTGTTTGTTTGATGTGTTTCCCTAACCCTGCCAGCAGCGGTGAGCCCCCGAACCTCCCAAGTGATTTCCAATGGTCCTTGCAACAAGGAAGATTTTCCTAGATTGTTTTTTTTAAGTCTCTCTTGCTGCATTTAAGCCCATTACTTTCTGAGCTTTCACTATGGATAGCAATTTATTGCCTATCTCTTTGGAGAAGCCTTTTACATAACTGAGGACTGTTATCACAACTCCTCTCTGCCTCCCTTGCTCTAGACTAAATAGCCCAGATAGGAGGATGAAAGCTGGAATGGGGTGTCAGGGAGAAGGGTTTAGAGGAGGAAATCACAAAGGGATTAGTCCTTCCTGCCTGTGCAGAAATGGATGTTTCCTTCCAAACAGCAGGGATGTGGAAGGGGAGGGTTTTTTCCCTGCTGGTGATTCACCATTGCAGCTCCATGTCTGACTGGGGGGATGCTGCCTCACAGCCTGGAGATGAGGGATTTGGGCTGATTATTGCTGAACTGTGATGCTCCCACCCAATCTGTGTGCTTGGGAAATAATTTTATAGCGATGAGGAGCAAATTCAACTCACAGGTCAGCCCTGCTGGGGTATGTTTGGTTGCACTTCTGTGTTCCTAGATGTGGTCATTTAGCATGGCCCCATGTACCCATCAGCCTGAAGCAGCATCTCAGCAGCATCTACCACGAGCCCTGCCATGGAATCAGAACCCCTCTGCCCTAATGCCAGAAGGACTTCAGGTGGAGTGATGCCACATCTCCACACCCTGCACACGGGATGGAGGGCCGCCCGCCACCCACGCTGCGACATGTGTTCCACAACCTGATGGCTGTTCATAAAAGCAGCACGTGGAACAGGAAAACGCCATCTGATCCAAAACACCCCAGGGTGTATTATGTCAATGTCATATCCATTAGGAAAGTACAGCGAGCGCGCTGAGTGGCTTCTTATGCTCAGAGCCCATTTCTATTATTCACGTCTGCTGTCAGAGCTGCAGCACGTACACAGCCCCAGCTTTGTGGCTGTCCAAACCTGCAGGAAACAAAAATAGCTCCCAGCCTGGAGAGCTCTGAAAGCACAAGGTGGGGGATAACATCGGAAAAAAACCTGGCTCTTTACTGCTTTACTCTCCCAATTGGCTTTCGGTGCCACCTGTAGCTCAAAGTGCTCCAAAAGCAGCACTTAAGGTAGAGCTGTTTTCCCTACGTTGCACAGGATGACAAGTTTATTTACATTAGGAAAGGGCTGTCCTTGAAGAAAACTAAGAATTAGAGGCTGTTTGGGATAGCAGAGAAGTTCTTTGCTTTGCCATTGTGCAGCAGCCCAGCTCCGGCTTCCCATTTCTCATTGCTGCAGATGTTAAGAAAAAAAGCTTGATAAATTACAATCCAAATGAACTTTCTTTAGCTCTCCTTCCTCCCTAGAGTGATTTTGGAGGTGACATTTGTATTTCTGAATTAAAACCACATTTGCCCAAGGCCTGGAAGGGAGGAGGCAGGGGCAGAAGGCAGAGAAACCCTTTTGTTCTCCTCCTGGTGGTTCCCCCTCACCTGCTAAGGCCAAGCTCCAAAGTAATTCCTAACAGCTGAGGTTAGCCAGGGACATCTAATCCCGGAAAGCTGGCTCTGAATTCCTGCACCAGCACATAGTGCTTGTGTTTCAGCAGCAGCCATTTACATGAAATTCCCCCAAGCTTCTGGAGAATTGTGAGAATATGTACAGGTAGGTGCTTATTTAATGGAAAAGATATATATATATATTTTTTTTCACAAATCAGAGCTCAAGTGGAATCAATAGCAGTGGTAGCATGCACATTTCTAAAGGTAAAAAGACTCAGGAACTGTGTTAAGGACATATCAGGGTCTTTCCTGCATATCCTAAACAGCTGTGTCTATAGTATGCCTAAGAACTGTGATTCTCAGCCAAAGGGGTGAGGCCTCTTTACCTGATTATCCCTAATGCAAAAAGACCTCACTTGGTTTGTGCAACTAAAGCTTCAAGTGTCTTATGGTTTGCTGCAATGACCTGTTTGCTTACAGAGTGGGTGCATGGAGCAGCCCAGCACCTCAGCAGAGGGAAATCTCCTGGGATTTGGCACATCGAGGTGGGAAAATGCAGAGCCAACAGACTCACTCCTAGAGAAAAGCCATCCTAGGTAGGAATGGGAACAAATTGAAAGCGTTGTGTTAAATGGTGTTTTTAATTATTCCAAAGAGATTTGAGGGTGCATCACCATGCAACACTCCCTATCAGTTCTGCTGTGCCCTTCACAGTGAGCAAAATTCCAGCAGCCCGTTTGGTGTTGTTTGCTTTAAAAGCATAAGCTTTTTATTAAGAAGAAAGCCTCGTTTTTGCTGCTTAGCCTCTTGAACATGAATAATGAAAATATTATTTGTATGGGACAAAGGAAGGCTTGTTTTTAAATTATCTCATGTTACTGGTTGATTACAGTGGAGCTACTTGCATGTGTGTGTAAGCAGCATCTGGTCCCTCTGCTCCAAGCAGGGCTTCACCAGACTTGTGCAAGCAAACTCATGGAGAGAACAAGAGCTGAAGGCACAGGTGTTCAGGGCTGTCTGTCCCATGGAGCCAGCATTGCTTCCATCATGATGTAACGCAGGTTTTTGAAAAGAATCAGCTCCCAAAATATTAGAGTTTCTCAGGAGATGGACTATTAGATTGTATTGATAGTTTAAAAGTGGTCTGAAAGGTCCCTGTTTCTCTCATGTGCCCCCCAGGCGACAGGTTTTATCAGCACCTTTTGCAAACATCCTTCTCTCCTACCAGGTTCCTGTTACGTTTTCTTTCCTCAAATTATCTAACAGATTAGCTTGTTTTGGTTAAATTCAGCAATTGTTGTCCATTTGTACTTACTCTGAATTTAGCTAGAAGACACGCCAGAATCTGCTCTGATTTTCACAGTACGTCAGCTGAAAATTAAAAACAGTAAGTTAACCTAAAGATACAATCTCTTCTTACAGACTCATATCACTCATATCTCTTTGACTTGACCACCAAAATCCATTTCTTGCTGCCTTCTCAGCAAGAAATGAAGCCAAGGCTGGTGGGGCAGCAGTGGAGTCACCCAGGATCCCTCTGCTTCTGGAGGACAAAACAACTATCCCCCTGAGTGAGGCTTTGTAAAATACTGTCCCCAAGTGAACTGTTTCCCACTAGCAACCTCATCGCATGCTCCCAGCTCAGGGCAATGCAAAGTAGTTGCTCCATTACTCAGCTCTGAGTCCAGCTTTATCAGATTGATTCTTCCCTCTTCACAGCTCATCTGTCAGGATTGCCCCTCTGGAAAAGAAGATCAGAGCAAATGGGGAATGAGGAGAATAAAAGCTGTCCCAAACCTTTGACCTCAACTTAACGTAAAGCCAAATGAAACCCTAGAGGTTTGTAAACGTTGGTGGAACTTTTCCACTTCCTACCTCCCCCTCCTTTATCTTTCACTTCTTTATACTTCTGCATTCACTACATCTAATTGAAAGTCTAACGTAAAGCCCTGGTACCCTAATGAAAAGACTGTCAGAGATTTTAGTGGCTTTTGGTTCAGCCTCCCAGAAAAAGGAAATGATTTATTTAATGGAAATGTTTTTAAGCTTAAGAGAAAATTAAACCGGAGGAGAAATGGAAAACCAGAAGTCAAATGCAATTTTCTGTCTAGTAGCCAAGTGTAATCGGTCTGAACCATGCCTGTAAGATTGTACAGACATTGGATGGTGAGGGTAGGAGAGTTCTTATCTGAGTTATAATCATGGATAGAGGAAGTGCGGGAGGATCGTGCAAGAGGCTCAACCAGAGATGAAGACATGGTTACTGGGGGTAATTGTCCTGTTGTCACTTGCTGGTGTGGCTGTAGTAACAGTTCCTCTGGATTTGCATTTCTGGTTGAGAGTTTGGTCTCCTGTAAAGCATTAACCTGTCTGGAGCTCCTATTTGCACGTACAAATTGTGTGCTTTATGTGCACAGACTGGTATGGCTGCATATTTTACTTGCAAATACATGCACAGCTTATCTAGAGAGTTATTTCCCAATATTTGTGTAACAGACGCCGTTTTGATTTTCATGGTCACTGGGTAGAGAGAGACACCAGCAGCATGTGCTCCAGAGACACTTCCTCCATCTTAATGGAAAATACAGATGTGGAGAGTGGTCCTGGGAAGAATCTGCCCATAAGCAGTTATTGCTTGTTCGTAATGAGGCTATGAATGAGCATTATTTTGTTATTATGATTCATCATAGAATCATAGAATGGCTTGAGTTGGAAGGGACCCAAGAATCATCAGGTTCCAAACCCCCACCACAGGCAGGGCCACCAAACTTCAGATCTGGTAATAAACCAGACTGCCCAGGGCTGCGTCCAGCCTGGTCTTGAACATCTCCAGGGATGGAGCTTCCACAGCCTCTCAGGGCAGCCTGTTCCAGCACCTTCCTTATTTATATTTTTATTTATCTATAATTTCTTATTTTTTATTTATATGTACATATTTTTATATTTGTACATTTTTGTTTATATACAAATTTTACACTTTTTTTTTTTTCAATTCTCTTTTTCATCACTTCCTGTTGTCTTTTTCAACCTTGTTCCCACTATGTTTTCTGTTTCAGATCTTCTCCAAAGTTCTCTCCAGTGTCACACCCAGAGGGTGCATTAAAGCCCTCAGCACTGGTGACAGCAGCAACTCACTGGGGTACGTAGTGGTGACACTGGAAGGTTTGCTGCCTTCACAGCATTGGTTGGCTTTGTCACTGGAGGCTTGGTTAGCTCCAGCAGTGTGCTAAACACTGGTCAGCTCCAAAAATGAAACACAGATCTTCACCCAAAAGTGATGTTTGGGGTCTGCAGACCATCTAGTGCAAAGCAGCAGAGGTGGGAGGAATCCTACTGACAGAGTTCAGGGACAGAAGAAATGATCCTGTTTATTTACTTCTTTCACCTAAAATTAGAAGTGGAAGAATTCTAAGTTGTTGGCACAATGATAATCAGTTTTGATTGTCAGAACAGTTAGAAATCTTGTGTTTTTCTCCCTGCTCATCTTGGATCCAGTTTTTCATTGGCTGAAGTGGTCAGCTTGCGTTTTTTGGGCTGTTTTTTTTTTCTTTTCTTTTTTTTCTTTCTTTTTTTTTTTTTTTTTTTTTTTGTAAATGTTTGATCTATTTGTTTCTAGAAATCTTACAGGGTGTGAATTACTAGAAATGAAGCAAAATGTACCAGACACAAAATCAGTGCATTCTCTGCCGCTCATATTCTCTGAAGACTCATTTGTCCACCTTTTAGATGTTTTCTCTTTTCTTTCTGGCCTGGTTTTACTGTTTGCTTCGTCGGCCATTTGTTCTACGTCATTTGGCGAAATATCAGCGAAGTCTTTCTGACAGTGAGCTGGGAAGGGAAAAACAGCAGCAGCTGGTGAAGGTTGTCCATAGAGAATAGAATCATAGAAAGGCTTGGATTGGAAAGGACCTCAAAGCCCACCCAGCTCCAACCCCGTGCTGTGGGCTGGCTGCCCCCACCACCTCAAGCTTCCCAGGGCCCCATCCATGGCCTTGAACGCCTCCAGGGATGGGCACCCACAGCTCTGAGCTGCTGTGCCGCTGCCTCACTGCCCTGTGAGCGCAGAATTTCCTCTTGACATCTAACTTAAATTTCCCTTCCTTTAGTTTAAAGCCATTCCCCCTGTGTTATCCCCCTTACCCATTTGGACTTTTGTTTCATTTTTATATTGGGTTTTATTTAAGGTGCCATTTCTCCCTGGAGGTCTTGTCTCACTGCTGTGGTGGATGGAGCTGAGCTCCGCATGTGCAGCTCCATGGCTCTTCTTGTCTCCATGGCTCTTCTTGCCTCAAGGCAGAGATGCCTTTCCAGCTATAGGCACCCCAGAAAGTCATCTCTCGCAAGTCCACAGCTTCCTAAGCACACCTGAAATGGGCTTTGACCCAATCTTGGTCTCAATAAACTTTCCCTTTCGAGCTTCTCTGAAGATTTGAGTTGGCTCTGGGATTGCCCTGACATTCAGTTGCTCTGGTGCTATTGGGTTGCTCTGTCTCCTCTGTAGCTCAGTGTTTATAGACGGGCTGCACAAGCTTGTCCCAGCTTCAGAGCAGAATCAAGCCAAGGCAGCTCCAGCTGCAGCATGCAGCCTGCCAGACAGGCAGCTCTCTGACAAGCCTGTTACTACAAGTTCACCTCAACCAGCAGCTCTGGCAATCTCAAAAATTTGCATGAAGTTCATGTTAGTTCAACATTAGCTCACTTTGCCAGCTATTCAGGAGCTCCTTCACGCTCGAAAAATTTGAGCACACCTACCATGCAAACTCCCTGGGAATGTCTTGAAGGTGGGCAAGCATTTATTTTTCACAAATACCACAGCACAAGTGAGTTTGATTGAAGATTTTAAGTCCTACTGTGTATTTCCCTTCTCTGCATGATGTAACAGCATCTAGATTAATTTCCAAAAACTGTATAGGTCAGAGAAAAAGTAGGTTTATACAAGAATATTCTTTTCCACTCACTGGTTCAGTGAGATCTTATGCCAATTGCATTAAAACACGTTTATATTTATAAAGACTCTTTTAAAATAGTTTCTGATAATTCAGTGGTGTGTAATAAGATATCACAGGCTGTTTAAAAGTACTTTTTTCCACTGAAGCACTCTGTGCATTATAGCTTCTGTAATATCGTTAGCAGTTACTGAGGTCTTGCAGAGCTGAGGATGTTTGTACTCTACAGATTTTGTGTATTTGTTCCTAATGTATGACAGTAAGTATTTGCTCAGCAAACAAAGAAAAAACAATGCTGGTCAAATTTTGGAGATTTTGCTGGGAAAAAAAAGATTTGATGTGATATATTTTTTAGTCCAGAAATCCACAAGGGTAGATAGTAATAGGACAAGGCGGAATCATTTTTAAACCAAGGCAAGGGAGTTTTAGGTTAGATATTAGGAGGAAGTTCTTCACGCAGAGGCTGGTGACACACTGGAATAGGTTGCCCAAGGAGGCTGTGGATGCCCCATCCCTGGAGGCATTCAAGGCCAGGCTGGATGTGGCTCTGGGCAGCCTGGTCTGCTGGTTGGTGACCTGCACACAGCAGGGGGTTGGAAGTAGATGAGCCTTTTCAACCTAGGCCATTGTATGATTCAATGATACTATTTTGCAAGTATTAGTAATGTAGCTGAAATTTTCCTTCCTCTCTTGACTTATTCTGGGAAATCAGGATTAATTACTGTCTCGATTTTTGTGCTGGATGAATGCTGTGTACTCTGGGCTAAAGTCATGAGTCACCTTCAATACTCTGTTAGATCCACAGAAGGTCCACGAATTCCACAGCTCCCCAAAAATTTATGCAGAGTAAGAGGTAGATCCATATCCAGTGACCTGTTCTGGTCCCTGTCTGCACAGTGCCATGAGGTATTACCCCAGCTATTGGAGCAACCCCACTTCCATCCTACTGGAAAGAGTGTTGCAAGGAGGAAGCAGAACTGCTCCCGGCGCAGTGCAGAACAGATGGTGGCTGCGCAGGGCTGTCCATGGGAAGGATCTGTGGGAAGGAGCAGCCGTGGGACACGCAGAGCAAGGAATGGGAGGCATGTCTGCAGTGGGAGGCAGCACTCACAGGGTTCCCAGCTCTCACCATTGAGCATTGTTTGAAACAAACGTTGATGCTGTATATGAATGTAAAGCTTAATTTGTGGTTTTTACACCCACCACATTTCTTGGAGTTGACATTTTCTGGGACTCTGGGGCTTTTTATCTCCAGGCTATTGTTTTGTTTGCTTTTTCTTGTCTTGGCCATTTTACCAGAGGCGAATAGCCTAAGTTTTTTCATTTTTGTAACAAAATAGCACACAATCAAATTATTCTTTGAATTATGCTTTATTCTACTTGAAGATGTACAAACCTGGTGGGCAGTGAAACACTTGACTGACATAATGTGGTATGGCTCCACTGTGAATCATTTAGGTGGATGAGAAATCCTGATAATTCCCTATGGGAACATGGCGCTGAAGAAATGAAAAGTCCCTCTTTGTCCCCTGTTCCATTTCTGCCCAAAGTGAAAGCAGGTTATTTTTCCAAAATGCCTTGAACTGGCTGTGGCTGAAGGGTAGAAAGGTTGATTTTGTTTCTGGTGGTGCCCAAAATGTGCCAGGCATTTCCCAAATGGAAGAAAGTTACAACTGAAGACCCAGGAGAGGGAGGGAAGGGATTCAAGACAGCATGCATTTAGTGGGAGTGCAGTCTTGTTCACACTAAAGCTTCAACCCTTCTGAATTTTTCTTTCTTGCTCCTCCAGCAGAGGAAACAGAATATATTGCATTAAGTTTTGTACAAGGCTTTCACCTGAGGCACGTAATACTAACCTCAGAAAATTAGATTGTTATTCTCAGGATGGAAGAAATATGGGGCAAGCACTATTTTGCTGGGAATTTCCAACCAAATGGGATAATCATGTCTGAATTCACTGACAAGCAGATTGCAAAGCAAGGTGTTAGAGCCTCTGAGAATAGATGGGGTGACCCCTGACCTACCATGATCCTTTCCTCCAAATGTTCTCTTCTTCCTTTACCAGTATGAATAGAGGATTTTGGCACATGAAGCAACAGGATCAGAGTCAGCTGGAAGAAACAGCCAAGTCGATGTTGATAGACGTGTCTTAATAGACATCCTCCATTGGTTGAAAATTTCTGATCTAATTTCAAGGGCACTTTAATTTTCAAATTTCTTTTCCATTGAACATGTACATGCAAAGTTGAGTAGGAGAGAAAAAGGCTGGCACAAGGAGATTTGCCTAGCTGCCCAATTTCCATTGTATACTGTAATTACAGCAGCGTACACTTTGGACTGACAGCATTTTTCAGCAGTTTGGTGCTTGAGAAATATTAAACTTACATCAGCTATTTGTGTAGACAGTCACCTTCTTCAGCAGGTTAGTCGTGCCAATATTATCCAACTTAAATAGGCAGTGAAATAGGGAGAGAAACAGATTAAGTGGCTCATCTAAGATCAAGCAACACTGACAAGAGAAAACCTGGTTTATCTTGGGGAATTGTTGTATCCCAGTGACCAAGGACTGTGTGTAATAATTCAGAGAACTAGCATGTGTCCCTATGGTAAGTTAGAAAAGATGCTGGCTTAGGAAGTTACACACTCACTAGGGCAAGGGACACTGAGATGGCACAGTACTGCAAAAGGCAGCAGATCCTTGTGCTTATGGATGGCAATGGGTAAATGATGAAAAACATCCCCGTGTTACTGCCTGCGGAAGTCCCAGAGTCCTTACTTCTTTAAAGGAGATCTAGAACATCAACAGGTGATCAAAATGAGTCTAAATGTGTGATAAGCTGTTTTGTGACTTTGGCTTCTTTCAGAAGAAATTATCATTAGGTATCTCCAGAAGTCTGACAAAAAATGGCTAAATCTTCAAGTCCTTTACCCAGAAGTTAACCTTTCCCTCCTGTTGTTATCTGCAGCCAGTTTCTGTCCCATGAAGGAGATTAATACCAATGGGACTGTTTCCCCTAAACAAGGAGAATCTGCATGATGAGAAGAGCGAAAGAAGTTGTATGTCCACAGAACTTGCAGAAGTCTCAAGGTAAAAGCACCTCTGAATGTATGGTAATTTTAGGGAAGTAATTATCCCCCAGACAGCTGAGTAAATTCCAAAGGGAAAAAGAAAAAAGATGTTTACATTGAGGAATTGGCTAATAACAGAGCTAATGTGTTTATACATGGGGGGAAGGAGAAGCCAGGCCTTTTTTTCTTGGGTTGTCTTCTCTTATTTTGTGTTATTATTTCCACTGAAGGAAGCAACCTCTGCAGATCTAATTGTTAACTAATTATGTTTCAGCAGAAATGAGCAGGGTCCCAGATTTTATTTGGCTTGGATGTTTAAAGGCAAATAGTAAGTTACATAATAAAACAACAGAATCATTAAACATTGATTTACATGTTTATTTTGCTATAAGAAATGAAATTTTTATTGGAGCTGAATTAAACAGAGGTTTATGTGTTTGTATTCCCCATAGCCCTTTATACTCTAGTAATATAGCAATATTCATAAATCATACCAGAGTTTTCAAATTTCCTTAGGAGTGACCTAGGCAAGAAACCCTTAACAACTTGCTGAGAGACTTTAAATTAAATTCAGCTGTAATATCATCATGACTAATTTATGGCTCGTTTGGTTGCTGCAAAGATGCATTTAAAGAAACCAGAGTACACGGTAAGGATAAGATAAAGCATTGGTTTAGTATCATGCACTAGAAAGATTTATTCAATGTTTCATTACTTCATTGAACATGGCAAAGCAATCAGTTCCTTGAGAAGGAATAAACAAGAATTATGTCATGAAACATGTCAATGGTAGACCTTCAACCAAGAAAAGGGGGGAAGTACTACACGTGAAATTCAGATTTTGTATAATTAGATATGGTTGTGCATGTGTGAACATGTATGCAGCAGCACACGTGTGTACAGCCTAGATGTGTGCATGTATGAACACAGGTTCTCACGCACGCATTCCGTCTCCACTTCAGAGTAAGTTTTACTGTAAAGTATCATTAAGGTTGAGACAGGCAGACACCACCTGGCACAATCTGAGCTATGTTTCTGAAATGCCCAGTGTCCCCAAAGCCCTCCTCTGTCCCACCGCAGCTTTAGAACTTCCTGCAAGCCTGGTTACACCAAATGGAGATTGATGAGAAAACACATTTTGAAATTATTAGAGGGGTTTTTTTTTGTTGTTTTTGTGTGTTTTTTTTTTCTTTTTGCCTTTAGTTTCTTTCACCACGGAATGAAAAGGGTGAAAAATGATGTTTTTCCCCAGTAATTAATTATATGTCTGACTTCTCAAATTTTATGCAGGCAGAAAACTCCTGAACTCAGTGTGAGTTGGAACCCAGGTCCTAGCATCTTGCTTCATATCACCGCAGTGCCATCATTGCCTGTCTTCTGAGACATGGATTTTCACTCTGTCCATGCTGGTTGACACCAGCAAATCATTCCAGGCAGGAGGTAAGCTAAAATATGTCTTGGTCTATGTCTTTTTCAGCCCCTTCTTCAGGTAAGTGCATTCCTCTGGTATTGGACCTTCTATGACATCAAGCTCCAGGAGGTGAATGTTGAATTACCCTGGTGATGGGTGCTATTTGGAGGCATATACTGCTGTAATGAGAATGTACCATGGTACCCCTTAAAGTAAGACACTGGCTATTGCTGGTAGTTACTGCCTTGCAAAGTATTAATGTTCAGTTATAGTGCAGTCATGTAGGAAAATTATAGATGCCTACAGGATGTTACTTAGCAACACTTGGTAATGTTGAGTTAGTAATGAAGAAATGGAGTAAAAGAAATACAGAAGGTATTGAAATCATAAAATAAACTGTGGTACAACTTGTGAAAGCAGTTCTGCAAATAAAGCTGTCTGTTTCTCTTTTTGGCATAGCGAGCATGGTAGGAAAAGTTCTGATCTGATCTGAAGCAGCACATTTAGAATACCTAACTAACAGAACAAGTGTGTTGTTTCCTTTTGTCCTTGTTCCCTGGGAAAAGCATCAGAAGAGCTGAGGTTTTGAAGATCTTCCTGTCATTTCAAACCCACCCTGAAGCACTGGCTGGCCAATTAAAATAATCTCTCCTTTGGAAGGCATTCACTGGAGCTGAGAATGAAAGCTCCTCTCTACTATATCTCTTTTAACCAGTCATTAATTTACATAACTCTCTCTGCTGTTAACCAAGTGTCTGTAGGCATATCTCAAAAGAAGGAGAAGACCACAAAAATAGAGACATTTCTGTTAGAGATGAACCTTCCATATGTTGCAGATCTCTCTCAGACACTTATCTTAGCTTATCTCCACCTGTTTAAACTGGAAAACCCACAAAAATCTATCTCAAGTGAGATATCCAAGGTTTCTTGATTTCATTTGGGTCAGAGCTGCCACAAGACATGCATTTCTCAGAGCCCTTCTGAGCTGCTGCCAGGAACAGGGAGTGCTGGGCTGTGCCACTTCAACAACAACAGAAAAAGTTTTCTTTGAAAACTCACCAAATTTTATAAGCTTTTTTTTTTTATTAAAAAAAAAAAACAAACAACTTCAGCCTCGTTCAGCCTCAGATCTGATTGAAGGAGCTGCCCTGATTTATTGGTGTCAAATAAAGTATGTTTGGATAGAATGCTATTTTGTAATGGAAAAAGCATCAGTGGAAGCACCGCCTCTCAGCACTGCTTGGGTTGGATGAGTGCTAAGCCTTAAATTATGATTGTGCTGCTGAAGAAAAGGAGGACTGCTGGAAATGCTGCAGCTAAGAGGCCCGTCTCTCACTCTTCCAAATAAAGGTATCTGTGGAATCAGCCTCAGCAGCACCACCAGATCTGCTGGTTAAGTACTGGGCAGTATCTGCCTGCTCTGTGCTGCACCTGCTCTGCAGAGCAGATGGGAAGGGGTTTCTCATTCCTCTTCCACCAGATGCATTGAGCTGTAAATGTGGAGCAAAGTTTTGGGAATGTTTCACAGGATAAATTTTCTTTAGACGTGAACTTTGTTTAATAATCTCATTATTATTACTATTAATGGTTAAGCCCTTTTATTTTGCCTAACTTCTTGTTCTTGCACATTCCCTTAGCCAGGAACCTTCTACCAGAGCATTGCCACCAGGATGAGTCTGCAGGGACTGCCCAGAGACACCTGGAAAATCAAGTGCCAGAAACTAGTGGTGCGGGAGAGCCAGCACCTCTGTTAACAGATCGGTTTATACCTGCAAGAACTTGTCCCACCAAACCAAAAAAACCCATCATCCTACTCATGCACTGTTCCCCAAAATGTCACAAAAGTGACTTTTGGCCTTTAAATCTGATCTGTCTCCATTTGAGATGCCACTGAGACCATAGGTGTGACTAGAAGATTATTACCAAATATAAATTTAATTCAGTAAAAGTTATTTGGGAAAAAAACAAAAAAAAAACAAAAAAAAACAAAAAAAAAACAACAAAAAAAAAAAAAACAAAAAAAAAACAATTTACACCGCAGTTATCAAAGTCCTCTGCACATCCTTCCCAGCAGACATTCTGTCTGTCTCACTTGTGGGGAACTACTTTTGGTCAGAATGCTGCAGATGTTTTAAAATTAAAAAAAAAAAAAAAGTTTGTCGCGTAACTTTTAGCAGTGTTTATTTTGCGTGAGCAAAATTCTCTTCTGTCTTAAGATGTTTAATCATTATTTGAAAGCCACTTGATGAATAGAAGAGTGTGTACTCCCACACGGGACAAACATATTTTTAGACTGATTCATAATAATTTATTTCTGTCAGAGTGGAATGCATTAATTTCTCCTACTGGTAAGGGCTTTACTGCTGCTGCTTTTCCTAAGGTAGATGGATCTGCTCTGGGAACATATTAGCTGATTTAAGTGGATACCAGGTACTCAGTTATGTCATGGCTATCTCAACGATCTCTTAAGGAACACTGAGTACTTATTTTTGTGGATACGGTGCACTCTGTGTTTCATCACAGACCTTTGTCACTTTGTTATTTACAGAATTCAGATTACTGCAATCTAAAAGTTTCTCAGTCCTTGTTAGTGCTCAGTGACACAAAATAAACCCATGTATTAAGGAGGGAAAAAAAAAAAAAGGAAGACCAAACAAAACAAGGAAAAGAAAAAAGAAAGAAAATGAAAGCAGCAATGTGAAAATGCACAGCTATAAAGGGAAGTGTTATTATTTGCTAATAGTTTCCATGTAGAAGTTAGCTGCTGAGTGCCGGGCTCTGTGCAGTGCAGGGGGATGCAGCCAGGCATCTGCCTCCATGTCCCTCCTGATGTAGGCAGAGCGGGACCACAATGCTCTCCAAGTTCCTTTTTTAGTAAAATCATTCCTCGTCCAAGAGCTGCTGGGCCCCACTGTGTGCCAGAAATACCCGCGGCCCTTTGGGAATTGCAGCCCTTGGCCCTGCCCAAGCCCCAGTCCTCCCAACCCAGCAGGACCCTCCCAGCCAGGGCTGGTGGCAGCACTGCTCCTCACTTCATTTGAAGGGCAGCAGACAGAAATTGACTATCTATTTATTTATTTATTTATCTGTCTATTTTTGGCACGGGATAGCTAACAACTCGTGCGTGGCTGTAAAAGACTGCACGCAGGGTAGGATGTCACAGGCTGCAGGGTGAGAAGCTCTGTGTGTTGTCATCCGTTTCTTCCATACCCAGTTTTGCCTTTCCTGTGCTGCTGCCACTGGAGTACAGAGAGACCCAGAGCAGTGATGCCATTCTGCTGCTGGCCTTGCCTGCTCTGATCTTTTCCACTCTCAGAGAAGGTTTTGGCCCTAAAGCCTTTGCCAAGAGTGATCCCTACAAATCCAGGCAGGATGATGCCTTGGATCTGGCAGGCTGCTATCAGGTTGCCCTCAATGGAGATGTGTGAGCAAGGCAGAGGGAGAACGAGGAATGGGTGGTGCCATACAAAATGAGCTCAAAGTAGGCACAGGGCTCAGAAGTGCTGCTGGGTATCTCATGTGCTGCTAATGAGGCTGATAAGGAACCTGTGAGACGGAAGGAATGGGAAAGATGGCCTCAGATCCACTTGGAGGTCAATGAATATGAAGTAGGGATGGAATTAGGGTGGAGAAGTCATGGTTGGGTAAGGGTCGAGTTGAGGAACTTGGGATAGACTCCCATTGAGATGTTTAATGAACAGAGCTTCTGTCTACCAAGATGGTGCTTTCTTAAGTACCTGTACAGAGCTCATGGTTCAGCTCTAACCCTCCAAGAGGTCACCTGTGTCTGGCAGCAGACATTTCATATGTCTGCACACGTGCACTATGTGATTAGAGCAGGTAATAACAAGTGTGCAAAAACATCTCTGGTCTAGGGAACTATATACTGCTCACTGAGCTGATCCTTAGTGATAGAGTCATAGAATTGTTTGAATTAGAAGGGACCCTTAAAGCTCATCTAGTCCAACTCCCCTGCAATACCCTATCAGGTGCTTGGAGCCCCATCCAGCCTGACCTTGGAAGTCAAGTACTGACCAAGTAGAGACCAAACGCTTCCTATGTGCTGGGAGGTGCATCTGGGAGGTGAGCTTCAGGGCAAGGCAAGGTGGTCCCATGCACCTGAATGGCAACCTGATGAACTGCATTTAGTTTCTTCAGCTACCTGAAGCCTCCTTCAGTATTCTTGAAAAAAAGAGTTGCTTTTCAAAGGCACTGAGTGTTCCCAGTTGCAGTAGGCATTAATAAGATTTGGGTTTTACAAGCATAACATATACGTCTCTGAGAAATAAGATTTCTGGCCAGTTTGGGTACCCTAAAACTAGAAAACACTTTTTATTTTAATCTGATTATATTTCATCTCTTCCTATTCTCACAACATGTGATTTGACTGCAGGAATACTTAAGCTGGTTTTTGGATGACCCGTTAATGAGAAGTACAGAAAGCCCATGAGGCTCTGAACAGTCCTGTCTTGCTGTTACTTGATCTCGGAAATAAGGCATGGTGTCATGCAGTAAACATGAAATAGAAAACCAAACATAAAGTCATTAAAAATGTGCCATCTGGTCCGTGCTGATGAGGAGCAGAAAACTCTTAGGAAAACTCTAAGGAAGTTCTTAGGAACTCAACTGCAGTTGCTCAATCGAAGTTAGGGTAAAGGTGGTGCTTATGTACGTCTTTGTACTATTGCACAGATGAGGTCTGAGTTCAGCTGCTCATCTGACACAGAGTCATATTCATCCTGACACCAGGTGTTATGTTGCACTAGGAATAAAGCAGCCACTTGCTGACTGAGTGAGCTGTACTCACAGTGAGGGATGGTGGCATTGCTGGGCCCTGTGTTGGAGGCTGGAGATGGCTGATCCGTTCCTGCAGCTCCAGACCCTGCTGGGAACCTGAACTGTTAACCTGAATGCTCATTTTTATGTGTTTTCCACTGAAACTGTTTAAAAGCATCTCTGTTGCTGTGAATTCCTGCCTATTTGTCATAAAGGGGGAAAAACACCAAACAGGAATTAACAAGAGGATTTTCTTTGTGACTTCAGTGCCTCATTAGGAGGTTTATGATCAGGCTTTGGGAAAGCTTTCCTTGAATTATTTTAAGGTTCTAATGATAAAAACCTCGGGGAGGTCATGCACATGGGAGATTTAATACCCCTTCAGAACCATCTGGCATTAGATTACATGCAGGGAAAGAACAAAATCTGGCAGTAATATTCATCTCCATTAACCCAGAATACAGGCTGATATGATTATAGCAGAGAAAATGCTCTCACTCTGTCACTAGGAAAAGCTCTTAATAGACACAGGCTAAATTGGTTTATAAAACTAAAGACTTCTTGAAGCATGGATCTGCCCTCTCATTGAGTGCATTAGCTTTGGCTTTTAATATGTTTTATATCTTTTTAACGTCGACAAATAATATGTTAAAGCATAAAATATTGCTAGGGTGAAAGACGGTGTTTGGAGCTCCCAACTTACTCCATGAATACAATGCTAGTGGTGTAAGCACAGCCTTGGAGCATGGTCCACTCGTGCTTTGCTTCTACCTCTTCTCAAGAGCATCAGCAAGGTCATGGTCCCAGTGACATCCTCAGCAAAACTTGAAATGCTGTTGGTGGCAATAAGATCCTCTATCCTCTCAACTGCTCTTCTGAGAGCCCAAACCAGCAAAGTGCTAAAGCAAGCATTTGGCCTAACGCACACTGAGCACTTCAGGATTTATGTACTTCTCTCTAAGAAAGCCAGTATTTAAATTCTTGGCTAAACCAGAACTTTAGGAGAAAGTAGAGAAAATAGAAAAGCGTAGAGTAAGAAGAGGACCAGGAAAGCCACTGTTCTCTGCCCCTCAGTGTGAGGGTGTTTGATGCAAACCCTCCTGAACAAAGCACTACCAAGACACAGACAGAGTCACTGCCCTGCACCCAAACTGCTGGCTCTCCTCTAATTGGCTGCCTGGTAGTTCCTGCATCCAAACAGGCTCATCTTGTTACTCTCCATCTGCACAATGACTTCTCCAGACGTAGTCTCTCTTCCCCTTCAAATTTTCCTTTCCTTTCACCTCCTCTTCCCTCCACTCTCAGCTCTATCTCCGGACAGCTCCTTTCCTTCAGCCAGAATTATGATTCCCTCGTTACATGGAAAGCAAAACCATATGGGAGACAAGAAAAGGCCATTTATCTCAAAGTCTATTAAGATGCGGAGACCTCGCATTAAGGCTCCAGTTCAGCCAGCCTTTCTTGCACGTGTTGCTGTCATCTCCTTCCACCAGAACAGGGATGTACTCCTGAGGCAGACTTGCTAAGATGCTCTTAGCTTGTCATCGGGTTTGTACTTAGCATGGCTCTGCATACAAAACATTTAAAGGAAATAAAAAAATTAAGACGTTGCCACATCTTTTCCCTCAGCCTTCAAAGCCACCTCTGCCAGTTCTCCCTATTTTATTGTCATCCTGGGACAGAGTCGTAGAGCAGTAAACAGAATGGGCATGAAGCCTGGCAAAGGGAAGTCACCAAATGGATGCTTCTACCTGAGTGACTGGGAGGGTTGACATTATTGAATTAACAACTGCTTTAGGATGAGAGAGCAGAAGATGGCTGCTCTTTTAACTTGGGGTGAAAGCCTCCATCTTTCACACTTCTGGGGAGTTAAGAGATATGGAGCCTTGTAAGACACAACTGCTGGAGTCCTGCAGTGCCTGCTGTTATGTTTCTGCTCCCTTCTCCAGGGTTGTAACATATTTGCTGACGGATTTACACTGCAGTTGGAAACCAGAACCCAGGACAGCCTGTTCCCTTGCTTCGTGCTATAAACATAAATACACTCGCACAGCCATTTGTAGCTGGTTCTTTCTATCTGCACAAGGATTTTATTATCTTTCTCTAAAGCGGTCTAAAGAGGAGCAGGAGACTCGCAACAAAAGGAAGTGCTTGAACAGGAACAAGAATAAAAAGGAGCAAAGGGCAGGAAGTTGCTAAGAGACCACGCAAGCAAGAGTGGGGAATTAATGGCAGATATCAAAGCAGCTATTGGAAACCACATGTTTTCCTACAAGGGCTCATTTATTGAGGAGGAGCTGCTATCAGAAGGCAGCAGTGTTGCTCTGGTCTGAAGTACATTTGTAACGCAGAAAAAACTTTCTCCCATTTACAGTTTTGTTCTTTGCAGGGCAAGTTGCTAAGTTAATGACGGGCCTTTAAATTAACTAATGTTATGGAACAGCAGAGCGAGTAATACGGAAAAAAATGCAAGCAATTATGGTTTAAATAAACCTTATCTACTGCATTATTAGAAACTACCTGAGCTGAGATTTCAGCAGTGTTAGGTTTGTCCTCAGCTCTCCTCAGTGAGAATCTGGGTCCCACAGGGTTGAACAGTGTGGGAAATGCTGAACAATTCCAGCTGAGCTCTCAGCTGCTGTCTCAAATTCCCGATTTTCACCTCCTGATTTTGTTGTTACTTTGCCTCTAACGCACTATGGGTCTTTTGACTATAAAAGAACCAACAAGAGAAGCAGGTAAGGGAGGGCAAGAGAAGAATGATAATTGCATCGAAAGGCACTTAAATGGTAATGTTGGCAATGGCCTGAAAAACCCACACTAACCTCCTCAGTACCTCCCAGTTCTGGACTCAATTTGAGATTACATCTGCCATAGCGTGATAGTCTTTCTAGATGATCTTAATGTCCTTTCCAACCTTAATGATTCTGTGATAGCCCATCGGCCACAGCCACTCTGAGTAAGGCGGGGTGCTTTGCTGGCTTTGCTTGCACGGGCAAAATTATTGCAGTCTTTCAACTGCTGCCCTGGGAGAAGTGTTCCAGCTCTGCTATATAGAATGGTTCCAGCTGTTCTCCACTCCTCCAGAGATATCATCAGAGAGCAGTCGCTTACACTGAGATTACGTTAATGATATCAAAGGGTGTGGAAGAAGGCTGCTAATTAGTAAGCCCTCAAGGCACAAAGATATAAATAGCCCTGAAGCAGCAAGAGAGCAGATCCAAATCTGCAGTCTAACATTATCTCGGGCTGAAAGCATTATGTGTTGACTGATTCCACCAGAGGAGAGCAATTCAACTTTCCTGTTGAACAAAAAAAGCAGGGCTTGTTTTGATTGATATATCTCCATGTCAGATTGTGCAGCATATTATCCATTTATCGTGCCACCTGTCATGCCTGAGACAGGAGCAGCAGCAGTGAGAACATGATAGGATGGGATGAACCTTCCTTTTGGAGAAAAAATATTGGCTCATACTTTTACTTATTAAAATAAATAAATAAAATAGCACCTATCTCTATCTCCATTGCCAAAAGTTTAAATGCTTCTGGGATCCAGCCAAAAGGCAAAGATTGTGGTAAGCAGCTAATATCTGTCAGCAGAGAATTTGCAGGAAAAATAAGGCTATTCCAACTAGCATGGTCACGGTAGAGAGGGAATGTCAGTGCTGAGGGAGATGAAAATCACAGCATGGCCCTGCAGAGTCTCTCAGGCTCAGGAGTCACATCCCTCATCTCACAGCACTGGTGCCAGTGCTCTCCTCATTTTCTTGCATGTCTGCAACTGGAAAACCAGTCAGCTCTCCTAAATCACTATCCTGTATTTGGATGTGACTTACTGTACTCCTTCACACTTTGCTTCCTGTAAGGATTACTTATATAAAGTTGTTGCATTGAGTTTTTTCTACTGTTGTTTGGTGGATGTTTTTTTTTTAAATTGTTTTATTGTTGGTCTTTTTAAGTCCTAGGCTGTTTTTTGAACACCACACCAACCAGCCGCTTGCAGCATCTTGACAGCACTACCACCCTGCAATAAACTTACAGAATTTGGTTTTTCAGTGAAGGTTGGCTGTAAGGGAAGAGGGGGAGAGGAAAGCACAAGAAAAAACCCAAACTTCCCTTCCAAGCACCATCCCAGCCATATGCATGGACTTGCACAGCTGTTCCCAAGCGCGGTATCAGAGCACCGCACGTAAGGAGCACTTCTGCAGGACCACACAAGTTTGCTGCTATTCTTAAGCCGAGCCTCGCAATTGGGAAACTCCTGCCAAGTTGTTTGAGACAGTGGCACCTGGGAAGTATTATATGAGTCTGTATTGCATCATGAGAACCCTATTTGCACTTAATTACACAACTCCCTCTCTCCTCCCAGTAGAACGAGCGGGACAGATGCTACATCTACAAAGTGAGAATCAAACACATTTTTTAAGTGGAGTCTGACAGCCTGAAGCCTAAAGGCAGGCTTCAGACCAGATCCCAGCAGTGAAGATCCTCACAGTACTGAATGGCTCAGGCCAATGAGATTTTGTGCATGGATCCTACATACCTTACTATGGACCTGTCTCATGCTCCTGCCTCCTTATGCAGAAATGTAGTTGAGATTTTGACTACCATCCTCTTCCTTGGTCTTTCTCTGTGAGCCTTTTGCAGCCAGAAGCCTGGATATTATCTTCACAAGGCTCCTGCCACATCTTTTCTATGGTGCTGGTCACAGTATGTTAAGAAGCCTTGCAAGGCTTCTTTATCCAAACCTGTGGATTGCACTGGTGTCTCTGGATTTGAGTCAGGTTAACAGACATCAGTTGGGCTAACCAATGAAGATTCTCTGACAAGGGTGAGCAATGGAGAGGCAGGAAAACCCCAAACTGGCTTTGTTAAGCCAAGATAAATAATAGCAGCACCACCACATCATGTTTGACAGGAGCAGATCCTCTCAAAACAGGCAGCTGGCAGGTGGGCGCAGATCCACCACTGGCTAACACCTGCCTGAAGTGGCAGACTCTATTGCTGTTCTGCAGGCCATCGCAGACTGTATGGCAACAAATGTGCAAACTGCTCTTTTTAAAGCAACTCTTTGGAAGTTCGGATCCTCATGTGCATTTCTAACCTAAGCTCATTACTTAAGCCCTTGCAATTGTATGTAACCGGAGGCATTGCCCTTTTATTCTCCCTTCATAAATCAAATCTCCCATCTTTTGCCATATAATCCAAGACTGGAAATACCTTTTCTGTTTATGTCACACCACGGTAATGCAGTCACTGATCTGCCACAGGCTTCAGCTGCTGTAAATTCTTTTCCTACTGCCCTTTCCCCACCAGCTTTCTCACAGTGCTTTATGGCTCACAGGTCTGGGCATTGATTCAGTAGTTTCTTTAAGGAGGGCCCAGAAGGAATGATGGAAAAGTATGTTTATCAGATGTGATACAGTTGAATGAATACAGTAAATGCTGTCCTACACAAACAAAAATACAGATCCAGCAAGGAAAGTTTTAATGTGCCCAGCTCAAAAATTTTGCAGATAATGATTAATGCTGTGGATGAGAAGAGTGGTTCTCACAACCTTTGTGTTGACTGTTAATCTGCATGGAAACCACTTGCACAAAGTTTAAGTCAGTGCAGATCACCAACTATTTCTGTGCATCTCCTCTTATGATGACTTTCACAATAAAATGGGAGATCTTCCATGGTTTCACTTTAATACTTTTCTGATTCAATTTGTCAATTATTTAGGCATCGTCTACATTTTAAAACAGCAAAAAGAAATATATAGGTTAGCAAAGGTTTGCTGTGTTCTCTTCCAGATTTCCAGCATCTCAGATGGTTGGTAAATTCACTCTACGGATAAATCATCAAGGCTTTTTCACACACTCTTTCATTTTAGCATACATTAAATGAGAAAATATTAGGGCACACACAAAAAAATAGTTCAGCTTTCACGTTTCCTTCAGCGTGTGGTGTAAGCATGTTCTTCTGACTACATACCAGGGCTAGCTGGTGTTTTGCCTACTTGGCACCTTTGGAAAACATGCATGCCTAACTTTGCAGCTCACATATGAGTCATTATTGCAATTTAATGTTTTATATGATGAAAAACACTGTGTTTTTGAATAAGATGATTAGCAGACAGCATTTGCAATGCTGGATACTGTTAGGTGAAACAATATTTCTTGTATCAGGATTGTAATTGATTTCTCCTCTATAAAGAAGTTTCCCCTCAGATCTTGATAAGGGGTTTTCCCTCCAGGTCTTCAGGAGCTGTGCCCCACGGTCAGGTTTCCCTCAGGTCAACAGCTCAGGTTCCTTTGGTGCAGGAGAAAGCACCACAAAGATGAGCTCAGGGCTATCACTGCTTTTTGGCTCTCTCAAATATGGTAGAAAGTTTGCATGATTAAATTCCTTTCAGAATTGGAAAACTGATATTTATTCACATTTGAGGCTTTTCTGCTTGTGTGTGATCTGGCTATGTCATTACTCAGGAGCTCTGCTGGCCAGGGAATGTAAAGTGGAATTGCTGTAAAACAGCTGTGGTATGAGATGGTACCCATCATTGTTGTTGCTTTCCTCCCAACTTTTTGGACCAGAATTAATTCTGTTTTTTGCATTAATAACTGCGCAGTGCTCAGCAGTGCAAATTCTTGTACCTTGTTTTGTGGATGTATTTCTTCATTAAGGGTAAGACCTGCCATGCCCCACAGGAAGTCCAATCCAGCTGCTGCATGGGCAGGCAGAAAGCAGTCTTGGACAAAAAACAAACAAACAAACAAACAACAAAAAACGACCAACAAGTTAAAACTTCTTGGAAAGTTGGGATCCTGGAAACTGCTTGGATCCTGCTGGAACTGGAAGCGCCTGTGTCTGCAGCACTCTGTTGGACGTCACTTCTAGTTACATATGTGCCTAAGTATTTTGTGGGGCCGGGCTCCCAGAGCCTGCAGAAACACCCACGCGCTTCCAGACAGTGTCCAGGGACACAAACACTTCCAGTTTTTCCTCTGGAGAAACCCAATTTGTCCTTGCCTGCTGAGCAGAGATACTGCGATGCACCCTGCATGGATCTCCTCACCGGGCAGGGACTGATGGGTGTGTGGATGGATGGACAGATGGGCGGATGGACAGACAGACCACCACACACTCGTCAGGCAGCAGCTGAAGGTGTCAGATTTTCCTCTGGCCGCTGACAGCTTTCCTGGGGCAGCAGGAGGATGCCTGGGCTCTGGGTTTGTTAGTGTTATTCCAGCCAAGCTCTGCAGACAGATCATCTCACATCAGCTGTGTATTATCTGGAGCCACGCAAAGAGCTGTTTTTAGTGGAAATGCTCATTTTATAGGGTCTCCTCTGGTCTAGGAAACAATATATTAGATGTGTGTGCTGCTCCAGGAGCAGACAAAGAATATTAACTGTGACTCTTACTCATGGTGCAGGTATGAGGGAGGAGGAAAACTGCTCCTCTCCTTTTTGGCCTTGGCAGGAGCTTGACTCCTGCATGAGTCCTCTGATTGAAAAACAAAATGGGTTAGATCAGGGTTTTCCTCACTCATACTCTTTCCATGTCACAGAGTATAAGGCTGGAGCTGGACTTTGTGCTGCCCTTCGTGGCTCAGTGACCTGGGATGCTCTGCCTGGTCGACACAGCAAGAAGCATTCCATGGCATAGGGCTGCTTGGTGGAAAGCACAGATCGACTCCAGCTTCTGCCTACCTGCTGCCCAGGTAATCTGTAGGTTGGCAAATCCAGCCTTGAGGGAGGCTTTGTTTTAGGTTTGAGTACATCAGGTTTTTGAGAAAGCCTGAGTTTCCTTTATATTGTTTTTAATAAAAAAGAAGGAAATCCACCACAAAAGTATGCATGTTGAGTTAAAAAACACTGAAAAAAAATGAATAGATCATAATTTCAGGGAGGACAAGCAGTGGGTCTCAGTTAAGCACTGTTAGTATCTCGTTCACTTTCTGAGTGATTTTAAACTGCATAGTTCTGCTAAAAAAATTGAGTAAAGAAATCTTTCCTCGATGTCTTCCTATCTATTCCTTCATTTTCTCTATCAGTATTGCCAGACTTCAGCGCAGTTGTGTGACCAGTGCTAGACCCTTCTAACTGGATAAGCCAATGCTTTCTCATAACAATACAAAACAAATATAAATAGATTCAGGGACAATTTGTCCAACAAGGATCTATAGTGCAGAGTGGATTCTGGAGTCGTCTTCAAAGTGTTTCTAAAATGACCTATGAATGTCTGCCTAGTTTGTTAAGAGTCCGGAGGGATTTTCAATATGATGGACTTGGGTTATTGAATTACTGCTGGAAATATGTAGCTGACCTCCAGTGGAAAATATTTCTGCAAAAAATGTCAGCGAACTTTTCAGTGAACTTTTCTCTACTGTTTCTTTTCTCAAATCAAAATAAACAATTGATTTGTATTAGGTGAGGCAAGAAAACAGAATGAATCTATTTTGTTGTATTTACTGATAAGCAACACAGTCTAACTGCTAACAAATGTTGGCCACATCTACTTCTAGCAGACACTCAAAGTGAAAGGTGCCTTTGAATTCACACTTGTAATGGGATGAAATCACCATTCCCTTTCTGCTGATTTTGATTAGAGCCAGTGAGAAATGTCCCCCTACACTGGAGTTTCTTTGCGTGAGGCTGATTGATGGAAATGTGCCAGGTTCAATAATGGGATGGTGGGAAGCACTTGGTTGGGATGGTTTTTGGGCTCAGAAAGAGCTACGATGCTTCTCTGAAATGCAAGAGGCCTTGTTGTACTTGGTTTGGAGACCTGCATGGGGGTTTCCATCTCCCTGCTGTTGTCCTGACTACCAGATTATGCTGGCAGGCGCTCTAATCCGGTGAATGCTTCACTGTTCAGACAAATTAAGCAGTTCCAGCAGGATGGAGCAAAAAAATAAAGCCTGTAATGAGCAGAAATAGGAGCTGAACCTGAGCCTCCTGTTCTGAGATGAGTACATGCATGCATATTTTTCAAATGAAAGAGGAGGTTTTGCTTTTGACCATTAAGAAGCCCAGCCCACAGTATTCAGATGATGGATTTGTCAGTGCTCTCAGGCTCTTTTGGGAGGTTTTTAGTTCAGCCCTTTAGTAACGGCTTCAAGTTTTAAGGCATTTCCCTTTGTAGTCTCCAAACGACCTATTAAGTTTCCAGACTCAGGGCACTAGAATAAGACCTTTACAGACTCACTGCCCTGGTGCTCATGATGTTTGTTTGACATTAAGACTGCCAGCAGACCCTGACTGAATGTGCTGGCTGTTTCCAGCACTGCTTAACCTTGGCCCATTCCCTTGTGCTGGAGAAACCTCTTCTGGTTATTGATCCTGTAACCATCTCTGTACACCCTTCAAGGCAAAGTCCCATATCTGGCATCTTTCCTGGACAGAGGGGCCCCAAGGTCCAGACCCTTAAGCCCAAAGCTTTTGGCTATAGCAGCTACATGCCTCCAGAGCTCATTAACCCAAAAAAAGAAAAAATGTGATAAAAGACCAAGGGACACTGGATTAGCAGAGATATGTTTTAAGTACAGGAAATGTTATTTTTAAACAGCTTGAGAGGGTTAAATCAGCAAAAATCTCAACCCCATTCCCATCTCCTTGCAAGTACATGATCTGGACAGCGTCCCCAGGCTGGAAAACACATCTCATCTCCTGCAATGCAGCTCTTTGGAGCCGTAGAGTGCCCTTAGCTGAGTGGCTTCTCTTCATGCTTCATTTCTGGAGTGATAGTTCACTCCAAGCAAGCCAGTGGCAGTTATTCCATTAAACTCTGCAAAAATCTCTTCAATATTTCACCATACCACAGTGAAAGAACAAAGCAACACAGCAATTACAATATGAAAACAAAGTTCAGGGGAAAAAAAAATATATCAAGGTCTACAAAACAAAGCAAATGTTGCCATTACCTATATTGTATATCCTGGTAGTGAGGAATACTAACTGATGTATTGTAAAAAAAACCCAAAATAATAGAAAGTGTCACAGATCAGCTCTCCAAATCTTGATGTTCCCAATGCATGGGAAGCAGAATTGCATCTCTGCCGTGCACTCGAAATCTATTTCTTCGCAGCAAGAAAATAAACAGTTTTGTGGTCAAAAATTAAAGCTGAAACAAAGTATTACTGTTCTGCAGACACAAGCAGAAAAAGTTGACACATATGGGGTATTGTATTTTATGGTCACATAAATGCTTTCTGTTCACCACAGGAGAACACGCAATTTGCTCATTGCTTTGTGATGTGCTCCAAAGCATTTAGAGGAATGATCATTGATAAAGCGGTAATAACTGGGGTAGTGCAGCTCCACTTTCTCGCTTTGTCTTGCCAAGAGTGGGGGAGCTGACTAAGCACTGTCCAGGCTAGGAGTGGACAGAGAGCAGATCTGGTTATCTTCTTATATATCAAGTTGAAATACCCCAAGGGGAACTGCAATCTGAAACTAGCTCAAGCGGTTTGGCACATAACGTGATATAACCTTCACATCAATAGCATCGCCCACGAGATGCAAAACAAAGGCCATGCTATTGTATAAAATCTTTCTTCCCTCTGGGCAGAAATGGATCTTGCTTCCTCGCTGCTTGCCAGCTACCCAAGTCGTTTAGTAATTGTTTAACTTCATGCTGATGAATGAATAGTAAAACTGAAACAGAGCTGCAGAGCACAGTTCAAACAGCGAGATAAAAAGGATGGTTAATGTATGGATTGCAGAGCCCAGAAGTGAAATGTGAAAATGCTGATAAATGAGAACTAAGCTTCTAAATGGCAAGAAAGCAACACATGGAATGGATAAAAACTGAGGTGAAACAGAAGGGTAGCACTGCGTGGACTTGTTTGCAACGTGTTGCTGATTTTCTGGGCATTTGAGGAAGAATTTCTGGGTTTGCCATTCTTCGTCGCTGATGGAAGCATTACCCCTCCTGCTCCTGGGCCAGACTAGAAGTCTGACACTTGGGGCATGCTGCCAGCCTCACATTCCTTGTTATTCTCTTA